GGATGGGGGGCGGGGGTGTTCAATGAACAAAGCACATTATGTGAATGAAATTTGAAAGAATAAATTAAAAACACACACTGTGCCACCCAAGGCACTGTGTGTGTCCATGGAAAATGAAAGTAGAAGCCCTGGAAAGGGCCCCCACATCACCAATGTATTATCTTTAAGGTCTTAAGTCAGCTAATTTCCTTCAGAGAAAATGAGCCAAAACAAACAGCCATACATGTCAAAACTTCCCGCTCTGCCTCCATTAGCTCTCGCTCTGTTTCTGAGGATCTGCTGTTAGAATGTGTGTTTGTGTTCAGCCAGTAATGTCGGACCTATGCCAGTATTGGAGTTCATCAGCACAGCTGTCTCCAACACCAAGTGAGAAGACTCCACCAGAATCCCGTAGCTACTGCAAATTGTTAATATTGTGATTTCTACAGACTTCCCCGCAGGGGCAAACACAGGCTATGCTGGAGATTGACTTCTAAGGTACAAAATGTGCTGACAGGCAGCCATCTTGGGAAGGCTGAGGCAGGAGGATTGCTAGAGTTCAGAAGTTCAATGTCAGCCTGGGTAACACAGTGAGACCCTCTAACCTCTATCTCTAAAAATCAACCAATCAAACAACAAACTTCTGGGTCCTCTGTAAGAGGAGCAAGTGCTCCTAACCGCTGACTCACCCCTCCTGTCCTAGGTCTTCATTTGCTGCTAGGTATGCCAGGCTACAAGACCCACAGACTTCTGGAGATTCCTCTGTCTAGGCCGACAGGAGCACTGAGATTCCCAAAGTGTACTACTGCGTCCAACTTACATGAGCTCTGAGAATTCTAATTTTTACCTACTGAGCAATCTTCCTAGGCCCAAAACAGCATTTTGAAATAATTGTATCTATTGCTTTCTTCGATATACATTTATTAAGCAAATATGATGTGCTCAATGGTACTGGGTCAAGAGTAGAGAATAGCAGTGGAATTACTAAGCAGTAATCCTGAATCCAAAAAACCCATTGTCTGATGCAGAATCTAGCTGGGGAAAAGCCCAGTTGTGTGGTAAGAAGTGCCTGGCAGAACAAGAGGAAAAAGACTACAGCCAGTAGAGGTTGGGTGGGGAAGTGGAGGATGATCTCCCAAAGGAAGAGCTCAGAATTGGCTTGGAAGGACGAGTCGCAATCACATATAGACGGAAAGCAAAGTAGAATCCTAGAATGAAGAGAAACAGGGAATGAATGTGGCATTCATCCCAATAACCCAACATTCATGAATTCAAGGCCATTCTCAGCTGCACGGTAAGATCAAACTAAAACCACAAAAACAAACTCACAAAAGCAGCAAGAGTAAGCAAGCTGTTGGGGCAAGGTAGCTGTAGGTCTCCCTGAAATATTACTACAGGTTTAAGTGCTAAAGGCAGGAGGAAAGTGTCTGAGACTTGTTACAGATACAAAAAAAGGTAGCGTTTTCTAATGGATGGACTGAGATTCTGATTTTGCACGGTCAACTCATATTTTCAAAATCAAGAACTCTACTTGTAAAGATTCCCTGGCTCGGGGATTCAGCTCTCAGTCATCCAGTGCTCAAAAAATAAAAACAAAGAGCCTGCTTACACAGAATGGAAACATTTTATTTTAAAAGCTAATGTCAGCAGGGCTGTGAAGGTACATGCCTGCATTCCCAGCCCCTGGAAGAAGGGGCAGGATGATCATTGCAGTCTCAAGGGGAATGCTATCTATGTAGTAAGTCCCAGTTGAGCTGGGACTACATGTGTGTTCCCGTGGAGGTCAGAGGACAACCTTGGAATTGGTTCTCTCCTTTCACGTTTATGTGGATCCTGGGGAATTAACTCAGGTCATCAGGTTTATGTATGAACTATGCACTGGCCCCAACAGGGCCCTGATTTTTTTTTTTTTTTTTGAGACAGGGTGTCATGAGCTCAGTCTGGCCTCAAACTCCATTTGCAGTCAAGGCTGGCTTTGAATGCCTCCCTGATCCTCCCGCCTGACCTCCACAGGAACACATATGTACGTACGTACACACACACACACACACACACACACGTTAAAAACAAACTTTTAAAAAGACAAAACTTTATATGGTTCAACACTGCCTGTATTGGGTTTAATGCACTCCAGTAATACTACTCTGAGCCTCCATCCACAATCTTGAGAAGTACAGCATTCCCATACCCAAGTTTGTTTAACCTTACTTTAATTTGACATGCTCCTCATACTTCACAGCACTTTTCAAAGAAGAAAATCCATGGCAACGTCAGACTGCCAGTGATTTAGAACAATTAGGAACCAGCAGGATGATTGGCAGAAACGTGGTGAATCTGGCCAGGAGGCAGGCTCTAGCCTGCATGAGGTCAGGTTCATTAAGGCTGCCATCACCCTTCACAAATACTAGCTGGGAACAAAATGCTCTTCCTGAACCAGGCTGCTGAGAGAATTCTCAATTTCTTCGGTCACTAATGGGGTGCTCCTGGGCAAACCATGTAAAACTCTACTCAGTTTCCCCAAATATAAACGGAGATGATACCACAGTGAGTTCCACATAGCTCATTGCTATGGTAGTCATATAAAGCAACTCCAGCATTCAGGAAGCTGAGGCAGGAGGATCTCTCTAAATGTGTCCAACCTGGTCTACACAGAAAGCCCCAAGCCAGCCAGGGGATTCGTAGTAAAGCCCTATCTTAGAGACAAGAACAAGAAAGTAACCTTGAGAACATTTCAACAATGGTGAAGATACCAGGCTTTCTATCTAGTCCTCTGAAACTAGAGCCCATCTCTAATACCTGCTGTCTCAACAATTTTTTTTTTTTTTTTTTTTTTAAATACCAGGGTCTTACTCTTAGCCCAAGCTGGCCTGTAACTAGGTATCACAGGCTGGCCAAGAATCCTGCTTCAGTGTCCAACTGCTGGGTAAGTGTGAGCTACCAATTTCAACAAGGCGTCTGACAGTACTAAAACAAATCTCTTACCCCAGGACTGGATGGAGATATATTCACTTTATGTTGGTTGGTGTCCCTTACCTGAAATCCCTTTGCTTAGGCTTGCAAACCAGGAAGTGTGCAAAGCTGACTGCTGCTGGAAAAGAGCAGGACCTGCACTCCCAGTAAAAGGAGCCAAGGAACCAAGGCACAGTGAGCTAGGCTCTCCAAGAACCCTAAAGATACAGGTATTGTTGCTGTCCCTAAGGCTACACCTATATGCAAGTACGAACAGGGGTCCAGAAAAAAGACTGTTTATTGTCCAAGTTCCAGAAGGGGAAGGCTTAGTAGATATTCCTTTCCCTCCATATTTCAGCATTAAAACTCCCAACATTTTTTTCCACTTTATGATTTCAATGACAGGTATAGGAAGACAAAATAAAATGGCTAAAATAGACCAACACATGCTATGGAGCTTGCATGGCAGGTGAGAACCTCTCTAGGGACAGTTGTCTTGACAGATTAGGGTTACTGCAGTCAAATCTCCCTGGGGACACACCAAAGGAAATTCCCTTTCCAGAACATCAGCTTCCTTCCACTTAGCCTGACAATGGACGCCAAAGGATAAGGGGCCATTTAAAAACAAACGAGGGCTTGCTTGTCTGGGTGTGCCAGGCCCTGGGTGCAAACTCCAGCACCGAAAACAAAGAAAAAAAGTAAGATATCTTACAGTGGAACACAGCATTCTGCCACCTGCTACAAAAGCTCTTTAAGCCTCTCTGCCACCCAGCCCTAAGTCACTTCCCCTCTCTGCACTCGAGTGTCCATGGGGGTGTGGGGGTGGGACGACACACAAAACCAAGACCCGAGGTCTGGAAGCTAGTCTCCAGTTGCCTGTTCTCCACCATCCTGGTCTCCCTCCCCGTCAGCGACCCCGAGGCTGCTGACCCGCTCCGGAGTCCAAGCAGGCGCCACTACTACCTTGGCTAACGGCAGCACTGAATGAAAGGAGCCCAAGCAGGCTGAGGATTTATGAATGTGCAGGGGAGGAGGGATATCATGTGACAATAAAGGAGAACGTTTTATTCACAAAAAAAAAAAAAAAAAGTGGCTGGTGGCGAGCACAGTCACTGAACAGCGGTCGCAGAGTCAGGACCGCTGGGACCCCAGGCCGAGAACGAGTCAGGGCAGAATGGCGGCCCCGCCCCCAGAGCCCTGCGAGGGAACCGCTTTGAAACCAAGAGCAGAGATCCAGCCCTACGCTCAACTAAGGCGGGAGGCAGCTGCCACTTCGCCGGGAGACGGTGACAGTCCCGGGTCTCCCCCAGGGGCGGCCCGGGAGCACCTCCGACTAAGCACCGGGAGCTTTGTTCCCCTAGGGCCGGCGAGCCGGGCACACGCACGGGCACGCGCTCTCCCCCACATACACGCCAGGAGCGCGCTTCCCCGCACGCTCTCTCCCGCCCTCGCTGCACACGCTTCGGATCCGCCCCCAGAGCTGCCCCGACACCGCGGGGCGCGTGTGCCAGCCCACACGCGCGTGCACACACTCACGCGCACCGGGATTCCGCGAGCTAGTCCCGCGCTCTGGCTGCTGCGTGGACCCAGGCGCACGGACCCGGTGCCCGAGCCGGGCCGGCCCTCCCCCAACTCCTTGGTGTTTTTATGAATGAAAATGTGGTATGCAAATGAGAGCGATTCAAGAAAACGAAATGGCGGAGTCCGGCCCCAAAGGGCTCCAAACAGGCTGTAGGGCAGGCGGCAGAGCCGGGAGCCACAAAGTCACCATTCACGCAAACCCATCGACCCTGGGATGCCCCGCGTGGAGGGCGTCAGAGCTTCCGCTCGCGCAGTGCGGGGGACCGCCCCGAGGTCATTCACGCGCCCTTGGCCCCGGCCGCGACCCGGACTCGCAGACCCTAGGTGGTTCCTGCAGCCTCCCCCAGCCAGACTGGAGAGACTCGCGTGCAGCCCAGACATCCAGCAGCACCCCACGCCAAGTTCTCCTAACGAGTCCCTGCCTGCGTCCTTGGAGGCGGCCCCCCACACCACCCCGCCGAGCACCCACGTCCCACCCGCGGTGAACTTACTCGTCCGGGTGTGTTTCTTCGGTCATTTTCTTGTTCACCTAGACGCCTGTCCCGCGGCGGGCAGCCTGGCTCCCTTCATCTTCCTGTGCGCTCGCCCCCCTTCTTCACATCTCCGACATCTCCTGATTTGGTGGTGGAGGGGTTAGCAAGAGATGAAGGGGGCGCCGAGGCAGACGGGGAAACGGGGCTCCCCGAGCGCAGGACGAGGTCTAGGAAGGGGTGCACCGGGCAGTGGACGCCACAGGCCAGGCGGGCGCGGCCCCCGGGCTCCGAATGAGCGCAAGGGCGAGATTTGGGAAGGGGACCCGGAGGGGGAGAGCAGCAGAAAAACAAGCACGCTCGGGGCGGCGGGCGGGCGGACGGCCGACTGTGGTGGGGCCAGGCCGGGGTCGCCCCCAGGGACCGGGCCAATCAGGGTTCCGGGTAGTGCTCGGCGGCCGGGGGAGGTGCGCCTGGGAGGCGGTGCAGGGCGCCCCGTCCGAACCCCATCTCACGACTCCACCGATTTACTCCATATTGGATTCTCAGCGCCGCCAACAGGAGGAGGAAGTAGGGCGGAAGCGATGACGTCTTCCCAGCGGCCAGAGGTGGTGGAGTGCAAAAAGCTTCCTACTTGCAACCAAAAAGAGAGGAGAGAGAGAGAGAAAGAGACAGACAGACAGACAGACAGACACACACACACACACACACACACACACACACTTTGTCCCGCCTACTGAGAGCACCCGGCTTCTACGCCCCCTCCCGCTAGCTTTCAGTCCGGGAGGAGCCGGGGAACGGCGTGGTTGGCGCTGCGTTTGTCCTGCTCCGAATCCTTGTCTCCGGGGCTCCGGGTTTTGGGAAGCCCTAAAGGGAAGGAGGCGGGAGCTGAGGACGAGAACACATCTGGCTCCCTTTTTGTTCCCTCCCTCCTCCCAAACCTTTGGATTAAAAATCAGTGGGGAGGTGGCGGGGGCGGAGATGGGGAGGAGTCAAGCTGCAGTCGGGGAGTTCGGGCTCGGAGGAACATTGCTGGGTGCGGGGTAGGGACGGTGCAGGTGGCAGCCGCTGGCCTCAACATCTCAACTCTGATAGAAACCTAGCAAAGAGGGAGTTGGACTTCGCCACTGTCCTGAATGGCAGAGGAGATTCAGTTTCAAGAGAATCTTGTGTTTTTTTTTTTTTTTTTTTTTTTTTGTCGACAGAGAGCAAGTGTTGTTCTAGCCTGTTTTTTGTTTGTTTTTTCAGGGTGGCTTCAAACTTGTATAGCCGAGGCTGCCCATGAACTCTTGATCCTTTGACTCAGCATTCCAAGTGGTAGGATTATCGTTATGCACCACCATGCCCACCTAGAGCGGGCATTTTTAAAAACTGTAATTTGTACACAAACAAAAGGTACATCCGACCCAGCGGAGAAACGTTTGTATTGCAGGCAGAAATGGAGTTTAAAAGTAACACCGAAGTATATAATTATTCAGTAGTCTCCTTCCTGTTGGTGAATAGCATCTCTAAACCCCAGCTCTTTAAGTCCAGTTAACTGGGTCACAGATTACTGGCCCTCAATGGGTTTTTAGCAAAAGGGAGACCTGGGAACTCCCCATTAACCCAATGCAGCTGTTTTTATTTTTTAAGAATGTGCGGGGGTGGGGTGGGGGCAGAAGGGGACTGCATGTACGCATGTCTGTGTACCACGTGTGGGCCAAGGAGGAGGCCAGAGGATGTTGGATCTCCTGGAACTGGAGTTGTAGATGGTTGTTAGCCTCCCCGTAGGTGCTAGGAATTAAACCAAGATCCTCTGGAAGGTCAGCCAATACTCTTTAACTGCTGAGCCATCTCTACCCACCTCTCTAAGTGTTTCCTGCCTTGGCCTAGGACCAGCCTGAGTTTTTCTGAGTGAGCCCATGCAACATCTGGGTTTGAGATTTTTGAGGACAGTCTGGTCGTCTACATTATGAGTTTCAGGCCAATCATAATGGTGAGACCCTGTATCAGAACACTAATAATAATTAATAATAGTAATAAAATAAACCAGCAGCAACAACTAAAACAAAACCCCTACACAAAACAAACAGACTCTCTTAGCGGTATATTCATAGAGATCCACAAGGGCTTAAAAAGAGTTTCACTTTTGAGTCAGGTAGAAACTGGTGTCTTTTTTGTTTTGTTTGCTCTTCACACCCATGATCTTTGTGGACACAGACTGAGGTTCCACACTCGATTATGAGTGCCAGTAACATGTAGCAGTAAGGGTACCAGGCTTCATGAACACCTGCATTTGGTTTTCTCTCAGAAGACCTGAAACCCTGAAAGTGGGATTGCTATTAATTCTTCAGCTTTCACAGGGATAACAAAGCAAACTTTGTCTTTTGTGTAGTTTAGTTTTGTTTTTCGAAGTCATGAAGAATATGAGACATGCTGGATGTGGGATAGACACCATTCTGGATGTAGAGGCAGGTGGATCTCTAAGTTCAAGGCCATACTGGTCTATATATCAAGTTCCAAGACAGCTAGGGCTAAATAGTGAGACCTTGTCTTAAAGGGGAAAAGGGGGTGGGCATGATGACCAAAGAGTTATCTCAGTGGTTAAAAGCACTGGTTGTTCTTCCAGAAGTTAATTCCCATCACCCACATGACCCTTCACAACCTTCCTCCTATAACCCCAAGAATCTGACACCCTCTTCTGGCCTCCAAGGGCATCAGGCACCCAAGTAGTACATAGTTCTACTTGCAGACAAAACACCTAAACACATAAAAGAACATCAAACAAAAAGTGAGATGTTCAGGGCTAGGAGCATAGGTTAGTATGTTTGCCTTTCCATTCAAGGACCTGTCCTTCATCCTCAGCACCCACATTTGGCTCCCTGCACTTGCAATCCCAGTGCTGACAAGGTGCAGACAGACAAAGTCCCCAGGGCTAACTAGTCACTCTCATGGCCTAACTGGCAAGTCTCAGATTGCAGGAGAACAGTCTTAAAAAGCAAGATGGATGGCTCCCAAGGAAAATTACCTAAGATTTACCCAGCTCCCCTCCACCAGCTGTACTGGTGTACTGGGCACACAGGGAATGAGACACCTGCTGTCACCAGGGCCTTTGACTATGAGAACTCTATGAATACAAACTACCTGGAAAGGGCATTGTTTTTGCCCGTGTATGAAATGCAAGGTAGAATTCTATCAAAGAGTTTGTACATGGAGACTTCAAGAGAACCAAGCTACTGGCCCTCTGTTGAGCATGATTGCAGACATTCTTGAGCTGGCTGTGGAATCTATAGATTTTGACTAGTCATTTGTTCCAGATGACTAGCTCTTGCATTTAGACATGAAGATGGGGTGGGGGGGGAGTGGATTGTGGCATCCCATGCAGCATATTCTGGAAGATGGCTGATTACCCATTATCAGGTGTCTTATAAACAACTTGGATTGTGCCAATCTGTTTCTATAATTTGTTGTAACATCTCAGGAATTATTTATATTTGTGTTGATTTGTTCCATAGATGTCTTATTATTTTTCTCATTCTCCCTGCCGCTCCCACAAATTATAATAAAATCCCGTTCCTTCTCAAAAAAGCAAAAAAAGACTCAGAGGCATTTGAAAATAAGTATTAGTTTGTGCTGATTTTAAAGTTTTCATTTCGGAAGCATAATCAGTCTGAAAGTATGGGGAGGCATCACCTGTATTCCCAGTTCTTGAGAGATGAGGCAAAATAATCACTGTCAGTTGGGTCACACAGTTCCAAGATAGCGTGGGATACAGTGAAATCCTGCCTCAAAAAGCAAAACAAACAAAAATTGTGTGGTGGCACACTTTTGTATCCCAGGAGGCAGGAGGGTCAGGAGTTCGAGGTCATTGAGTTCTAGGTCAACCTGAGCTACTTGAGACTTCCTCCGTCTTTTAAAATAAAAGTGTTGACTCAGTAAGATGGTAAAACTTCTAAAGTACTATCGATCTGCTCACAACTTCACGGAAACCCAGGGCAGCTAGCCGCCTGCCCGCGGGCTGGGTCGGGGAGGCCCTGCAGCTCTTCCTTTCCGGGGAGGAGCGGGTGGGGGCTTCGGGAGATCGTGAAGCACCCCTTGGAGGCGGCCAAGATGGGATCCTCAGGCCCAGTAGCAGAGCTGGTCCTGCTTTTCGAGCCGGAGGCCGGGGGACCCAGCGCGAAGACGCAGCGCGAAGCTGGCATTTAGGCCTCCCCTGCAGCCGGCTCTCCTCGCCCTGGCAGGACTGTGGCTGCACGTGGGATCTGGGATCCCAGGCCACGAGCTCAGCCCCAGGGCTGTCCTTGCCTCGCCCCACTCTGCCACTTCGGTATTTCTCAATGACCGGCACTCCAAGACACTTCCGACGCAGGGGAGGGGTGCCATTCGCAAGGGTTTATCAGTTCCTTCCGGCCGCGCCCGGCTGCTGCAGCGCCTGCATCACCAAGCTCAGGCAAGCAGCCACTGGTACCCGCTGTGCCAAGGGAGTGCAGGACCGCACAGACTTAGTGAGAGGCCACGGCCCTGCGGGGTGAATGGCTCGGGCCCATTGCACAATCTCCGGTATAATTAGCCAAGGGCGGTGTTGCAGGGCTCATCCCCCAGGCAGCACACTCCCGATCATTTTCCCTTTCGGTTACGTAGCCAGGATTTTATTAAATAGAGATGAAAGGCCCCTGCCCCGCCTCCCTCCACGCGGGGTCAGGTATTATGAATGAGATGCCAACTCTGCCGCTTCTGAGGTTGTCTCCAGGTCAGGAAGTGATAGACTGAGCAAGAAGGAAGCATTCTTTGTGTAAAAATGTAACCGCCAGGGTTTGCCCCCAGTTTCAGTTTACAATTGTACAAGCTTCCGCCAGTTTAAGAATGGGTTATGCAAAGGGTCTTTCGTCTGTGGCTGCTCACCCTCTAGCAGGCTGGGTGGGAATTGCTGTGTGGGAGTAGCCAGTTAATATCCCACTCTAACCCCACCCTCACTGACTCTGAAAGCCTGGGGGGAAGCCAGATTTGGGATGCACACCTGTATTCTGAACAGTAGGCTAGAGGATGGCAAATTGGACCTTATCCTAAAGAGATCCTAAAACTTGGGGAGGATCAGGATTTCAAAGTCAGGCTGGTTATGGGGCACAGTAATACTTAGTGTGAATAAAAGTTTTGGATTCAATTTCCTAGATCCTCATTAATCTGACCATGAAGTAACCTGGAATGCCAGAAATTCAAGGTCATTTTCACCTACACAGTTCAGGATAGGAGGGGTGGGCGGCGGAGGGACGGTTTTCCTTAAAGAATTTACTTAACTTCATTTCATGTGCATTGGCGTGAATGTATCAGGTCCCCTGGAACTGGAGTTACAGACAATTGTGAGCTGCCATGTGGGTGCTGGAAATTGAACCCAGATCCTCTGGAAGAGCAACCAGTGCTCTTAATCGCTGAGCCATCTCTCCAGCCCCGTATTATTGTTTTCTTATGGGTAAATTTTTTATGACCGTCGTGTTTTGAACGAACTTTTTTTTTTTTATCAAAAAAAAAAAAAAAAAAATCAAAGGATATGCTCTTGAGTTTTAGTTCTCCGGTACAGTTTTGGCTCCCCTTAGTCGCTCAGCCCTTCAGCAGGTAGTAATGAGATCCGCTCTGCGCTGAGCTGTGGCGTCTCTTCGGATAGTGGAGTGTTTGCAAA